TTGTAGAGAGCAATAAGGTCTCCCCTCAGCCTCCTCTTCTCCAGGCTGAACACCCCCAGCTCCCTCAGCCTCTCCTCACAAGACTTATTCTCCAGACCCCTCACCATCTTTGTTGCCCTTCTCTGGACCCGCTCCAGCACCTCAATGTCTTTTTTATGGTAGGGGGCCCAAAACTGGACACAGCACTCAAGGTGAGGCCTCACCAGTGCCCAGTACAGGGGGACAATCACCTCTCGGGCCCTACTCCCCACGCTGTTCCTGACACAGGCCAGGATGCTGTTGGCTTTCTTGGCCACCTGGGCACACTGCTGGCTCCTGTTCAGCCGACAGGCCACCAACACCCCCAGGTCCTTTTCTGCCCAGCAGCTCCAGCCACTCTGCCCCCAGCCTGGAGCGCTGCCTGGACTCAACCCTGTGCCCACACGGAGAAGGTGGCATGCTGCAAACCATGGTGGTGAACATCAGGGCATGAAGACCCTCTGCCACCCTCCCGACAACCACAGGACGCTCTTTGGACCTCAAGACCTGATGGAACCGGGGGGGCAGATGCTCCCTGGGGGGGTCACAGCTCCATGGGATGGGGATGGGGCAGCACCGACCTACCCGGCGTGAAGAGGGCGATGGCTTTGAGGCAGCTGTACTCGGCCGAGTCCACCTGGAGCCGGTTGAGCTTCTCCACCTGATCCTGGAAGATGCGGATCTGGTCCATGAAGGAGACGACGCGGTCGGCCGACATGGGGGAGGCGTGGAAGCCGGCGGCGGCCAACAAGGGGGCCATGTGGAGGGGCAGGGCCGACTGCGCTGCGTTGAGGACGAAGAGCTCGCTCCAGCTGAGCCGGAGCAGGGCCACCTGGTCAGAAACGGGCAATTCGGGGAAAAAAGGGATGTTCCTGGCCCATTCCACCGTGCTGAAGAGGAGGCGGGCGGCCAGCTCGCAGATGTTGTCGATGCCCATGATGCTGCCCTGCTGGGCGTACTGGGAGCCGTAGCGGGCGGCGGGGTAGGGCTCAGCCCGCAGGAGCTGGGAGATGAGCTCCGACACCGGCTGCCCGTTGAAGTATTCCCCGCTGGGCAGGGTGTTGGGGCTGGTGCTGGAGTGGGTGGGGGGGATCCGGCCCCGCTGCACGGCTGTGGGGAGGGAAGGAGAGAAGGTGTTTGTGTCCTGCTGCATCATCATCCCCCCATCCCGCTCCTGGGGTTCCCTCTGCCCTGTGGAGGGGGGAGAAAGAACCAGGACCCTCCCTCTCCCCACCCAGCATCATCCTCCATCCCGCTCCTGGGGTTCCCTCTGCCCCACGTAGGGCAAGGAAGGATGGGGATGCTCCCTCTCCCCACTCAGCACCCCCCATCCTGCTCCCAGAGGGCACAAGGGGTTCCCTCTGCCCCATGGAGGGCAAGGAAGGACAGGGATGTTCCCTCTCCCCACCCAGCATCCCCCATCCCGCTCCCCGGGGGGACATGAGGGGTTCCCTCCACCCCACAAAGGGCAAGGAAGGATGGAGATGCTCCCTCTCCCCACTCAGCACCCCCCATCCTGCTCCCAGAGGGCACAAGGGGTTCCCTCTGCCCCACGCAGGGTGAGGAAGGACAGGGATGCTCCCCCTCCCCACTCAGCATCATTCTCCATCACTTTTCCGGGGCTTCCTCTGCCCCATGGAGGGTGAGAAAGGACGGGGATGCTCCCTATTCCCGACCCAGCACCATCCCAAATCCACTCCTGGGGGTCACAAGGGGTTCCCTCTGCCCCACGGAGGGTAAGGAAGGACGGGGATGCTCCCTATTCCCAACCCAGCACCATCCCAAATCCACTCCTGGGGGGCATGAGGGGTTCCCTCTGCCCCATGGAGGGTGAGGAAGGACAGGGATGCTCCTCCTCCCTACTCAGCATCACCCTCCATCCCACTCCCGGGGGTCACGAGGGGTTCCCTCTGCCCCACGGAGGGCAGGCCAGGATGCTGTTGGCTTTCTTGGCCACCTGGGCACACTGCTGGCTCCTGTTCAGCCGACAGGCCACCAACACCCCCAGGTCCTTTTCTGCCCAGCAGCTCCAGCCACTCTGCCCCCAGCCTGGAGCGCTGCCTGGACTCAACCCTGTGCCCACACGGAGAAGGTGGCATGCTGCAAACCATGGTGGTGAACATCAGGGCATGAAGACCCTCTGCCACCCTCCCGACAACCACAGGACGCTCTTTGGACCTCAAGACCTGATGGAACCGGGGGGGCAGATGCTCCCTGGGGGGGTCACAGCTCCATGGGATGGGGATGGGGCAGCACCGACCTACCCGGCGTGAAGAGGGCGATGGCTTTGAGGCAGCTGTACTCGGCCGAGTCCACCTGGAGCCGGTTGAGCTTCTCCACCTGATCCTGGAAGATGCGGATCTGGTCCATGAAGGAGACGACGCGGTCGGCCGACATGGGGGAGGCGTGGAAGCCGGCGGCGGCCAACAAGGGGGCCATGTGGAGGGGCAGGGGCGACTGCGCTGCGTTGAGGACGAAGAGCTCGCTCCAGCTGAGCCGGAGCAGGGCCACCTGGTCAGAAACGGGCAATTCGGGGAAAAAAGGGATGTTCCTGGCCCATTCCACCGTGCTGAAGAGGAGGCGGGCGGCCAGCTCGCAGATGTTGTCGATGCCCATGATGCTGCCCTGCTGGGCGTACTGGGAGCCGTAGCGGGCGGCGGGGTAGGGCTCAGCCCGCAGGAGCTGGGAGATGAGCTCCGACACCGGCTGCCCGTTGAAGTATTCCCCGCTGGGCAGGGTGTTGGGGCTGGTGCTGGAGTGGGTGGGGGGGATCCGGCCCCGCTGCACGGCTGTGGGGAGGGAAGGAGAGAAGGTGTTTGTGTCCTGCTGCATCATCATCCCCCCATCCCGCTCCTGGGGTTCCCTCTGCCCTGTGGAGGGGGGAGAAAGAACCAGGACCCTCCCTCTCCCCACCCAGCATCATCCTCCATCCCGCTCCTGGGGTTCCCTCTGCCCCACGTAGGGCAAGGAAGGATGGGGATGCTCCCTCTCCCCACTCAGCACCCCCCATCCTGCTCCCAGAGGGCACAAGGGGTTCCCTCTGCCCCACGCAGGGCAAGGAAGGATGGGGATGCTCCCTCTCCCCACTCAGCACCCCCCATCCTGCTCCCAGAGGGCACAAGGGGTTCCCTCTGCCCCACGCAGGGTGAGGAAGGACAGGGATGCTCCCCCTCCCCACTCAGCATCATTCTCCATCACTTTTCCGGGGCTTCCTCTGCCCCATGGAGGGTGAGAAAGGACGGGGATGCTCCCTATTCCCGACCCAGCACCATCCCAAATCCACTCCTGGGGGTCACAAGGGGTTCCCTCTGCCCCACGGAGGGTAAGGAAGGACGGGGATGCTCCCTATTCCCAACCCAGCACCATCCCAAATCCACTCCTGGGGGGCATGAGGGGTTCCCTCTGCCCCATGGAGGGTGAGGAAGGACAGGGATGCTCCTCCTCCCTACTCAGCATCACCCTCCATCCCACTCCCGGGGGTCACGAGGGGTTCCCTCTGCCCCATGGAGGGTGAGGAAGGACAGGGATGCTCCTCCTCCCTACTCAGCATCACCCTCCATCCCACTCCCGGGGTTCCCTCTGCCCCACGCAGGGTAAGGAAGGACAGAGCTGCTCCCTCTCCCTCCTCCCCAGCATCCCGGCGTCCCCGGCAGGGCCGGATCCTGCCACCCCAAGGAACAATGGGTGGCTTTGAGGCGCTCGGGGACAGGGAGGTGGCACGTGTCACCCGCTGCGCCCGCCACCCAGAGCCACGTTAAATCATCCCTCCAGCATCCCCGTGATTCACCAGCAGCTCCCGGGGCCACCAGCACCCACGGCTCGGCCACCAGGACAGCACCCGTGGCCACCTCCTCCTCCACAAGGGACCCGGTACCGGAGCTCTGGTGACCCCCTGTGCCCCACCAGCACCCATCCCCCCCCCCAAAAAACCACCCCGGCACCGGGGGCCATGTCTACCCAAGGTCATCGCTTGGCAACAATCATTTATTTGCAAATAAAACCTCCATCTTGGCCCCTGGGGTGACCCCCCCCCCCCTCCACTCCT